GCGAAGAACGAGCAGAGCGAGAGGGAACGCACCATCAGACTTCGCCTCGTACTCCGCAGGTTTATGGACGTCGAAGCCTTCGACGCGGAGACCTTGCCAGGCCCGGCCAGGCGGGCAAGCCAGAGACTGGTCGCAAGCGCGGCCGCATGCAAAAAGTCATGGGTTATCGCCTCCATGGATATCGACGAGGCTTTCTTGAAGGGCCTGACGTATCGCGGACTAGCTGCAGCCACTAGGGAGAAGGAACGCGCGGCGCGCTTCACGCCCCCACCTGGCTCCGCATCGGCGCTACGCGCACTACCAAGCTTTGCGACGAATCAAGGCACGGTTTACAATGCCTAGAGCCAGGCACTGGCACCAAGGACGCCCCTCGGGCGTTTATCGCTGAAACTCAGCACCATCACGAGGGGGTTCGGGCTGAGACCAACTTCTCACGACGAAGAATTCGATCTAGGCCTCCTAAGTGGGGTCGCAGTAGATGGGGTCGGACGATCGATCCGCATCGGCGATGCCTCCGGGACGCGGCTCCATGCGGGGCCGATGTTCTCCGCGCCGACGTCGCCGATGCATCGCTGACGTCGCCAGTGCATGGCCGATGCATCGCCGATGCATCGGCGACGCGGCGCGATCCTCCGACACCATCTACTCCGACCCATCTAGGAGGCCTCTATTCGAGACACGCCCAAACCTCCAGCCAAGCACGTAGACGACACACATATGGCAGGAGTCAAAGACGCCAATGACAACTACGTAAATTTTGTAGAAGGCACGCGCGGCGCATGTAAGCCCAATAAGCGCAGCAATACAAACTGCACCGAGCGCTACACTAAGACCGAGGACGCCCACGTTCAGCTGGATCAGGGCGAATACATCAAGCAGTTTCGCCCCACACAGCACGCAGAACTTACTGGAACCGAAGCATCAGAACAACAAAAAAAACGCTAACTGTATCAGACATGTTCATCAGTTTACGCGGTGCGCTAGCATCTGCCCTCATCATCCAAGTGTGAGTGATGATGAATGTGGTTTCTTTACAACGTGTCCAAGAATCGACCAACGTACAAGCACGACGACTCTACGCCGCAACACGTAAACTAAAACAGGATCCACAAAAATATAATATCAAATAGTGATTCCGACCAGAGAAATGGACCTACATAGTGATTCAAGTCATCGGCGCCCTAACGGCGATGCCGACGACGAAGTCAAGGGGCACAGTATCCAAGGTGACATTTTTTGCTGCGAGGCCACGCGCCTGACGGTAAGGCAGTACACCTAATCGACGCGCAGTGCAAATCAGATCGACTGCAGTCACGTTCCAGCTACTCTGCGGAAGCCTTGGTAGCAGTCCGTTGTTTAGAAGACTGTTATCCTACCATTGCGACGCTGCAAGAGCTCAAAGCTGGACCACTCACGCCTACACAATTCAATAATGTCCTAGAGATAGGTGACCTAAGCAGCACGGCAGTTCTCACCATCGACGCCGAGTTGGTCTTCAACACTATCCAGTAAGGATTTGATAAAGCCCGCTGAATGTACCCTGATGGGACACATCAGCTAGATCCGACAGGTGATGGATCGATGTATCGCTCGTAGCGTACCACGGTGTGATACACGTAATATGACGGCCGACGGCCATACCAAAGGCTGCACTGATCGTGAATGACTTATACAAGGAAAGGCAGGTATTCCGTGATCCAAGTATGAAATAAAGCGGTACACACCCTACAGACGGAACAGGGCAACACCATCATAGTTTGGCCGACACCAGGGCTAGCGAACATTGCGCGTGTGCAAGAGGCTGAAAGCTTTCAGCAGCCCGGCCCCCGGCCACACGCCAATGACGGCCCGGCCACGGGCTACACGCCAGTAGCGGCCCACTCACGGGCTTTTCCGTTTTTTATTGCACGCGTTGGTGTCTGAAGGTTGCTGCGGACACCCACAGAAATTTGGGTGGGCCCACAGACCACTTGGAGCAATGGGGTGACCCACTTTAAATATGCTGCTGGCCCTGTGCGGAAGTCCCCCGCGGCTAGCCTTGATATTGTTGTTAGCCGTGTGCGGAGGTCCCCCGCGGCTAATCGCAATGCTGTTGCTAGCCGCGTGCTGAGGCCTCCCGCGGATAGCCCTGTACGTTTTGTGTGCGGCAGCCGTTTTGCGAGTGTTGTCTGATAAAAGGTCGACCTCCTTATTGTTTTGCCTTGATGCTGCCTACATACTACAGAGTGTTATGTTAACGTGGTTCGGCGCTCGGCTCCTCCCCTCCTGATTTTGGACGGAGGTCAATGGTGAGCACAGCGAGCACTGTGCCTACGTCCGACGCCCCTTCGGCTCAAGCGACGTCGCTCCAGATGACTGCGCCATCCGTGGCGCACAATCGCACCTGAGTGCCGGGAAAAGGAGACGTCCACATCCTTCGATGGCGCACACTCCCATCTCTTGCCGTATCTCTTATCTACCGACCTATACTCCAGCATGGGATAAGTTATGGGATGCCACGGAACGTATACGACGTCACCAAAGGTGGAGTCCCGGCTTACACCCTCCTGGCCCCCATTTTTCTTTGAGGAGAAGAAGGCAAAAGCAGGAAGCAGGAGCAGGAGGCAGGAGGGGGAGAAGGAGGCGAAGGAGGCCAGGGGCAGGGACATGGGAGGAGGAGGACGACGACGAGGAGGAGGAGGAGTAATTGGGCAGTTCCTCGCAATGATGATCCTCACCCTCTTGATGGCCCCCTCTCATGGCCCTCGCCCTTCTGATCCTCACCCTCATGATCCTCGCGTTCCTGATTATCGCTCTCCTCGCCCCTACACACCCGCCTCACGATGCTGATCCTCACCTCCGCGTGCTCATTCTCCTTCTCAGTATCCTGATCCTCGCTCTCCTCGTGATGCTCATTCTGCCGATCCTCACTCTTCTGATTTTCCCCCAAAATTCGCCCAGTCCTCACCCTTTGCTGATCTTCATTGTCCTGATCCTCGCTCCTCTGGCCCTCATTCTCCACATCCTCACTCCCCTGCTCCACGCTCGCCTGCTCCTCAGCCGCGTGGCTCTCACTCTCCTGATCCTCTCCTCTCACGAGCCCGGCCCTGCTGATACTCATCCTCCTCACCCTCACCCGCCGCACCACCACCTCCCGCGCGCCCCTTCTTATATATATATATATATATATATATATATATATATATATACTATAGGAACTCCTGAACAACCGTAGAGCGGCCGCTACTCATATGCTTGTCCGATTGTGCGATTCGGATAAGTTTGGAGTATCGTGTGGGGCTCTCTTGGGGCCCTCCTCGTTGCCATGCGTGCCCTCTTGGGGCAATTTGGAAATCATTGGTCAAAGAAGGGGGGTTGTGATGTCAGCCCCCCGTCGGAGACCGAACAAATTGTTTTTTGAGGCCCCTTACGCTCTTGGGGCGCTCTTGTGGTCGTCGTGGAGCCCTCTTGGGGCTCTGTTGGGCAATATTTGAGCCCCCACTGATTCATCAGAAGCCAATCAGAAGCGAAAGGGTGAGAAGACAGAATGAACAATCTTCTCTTGGTTTGGGACAGAGCTTGGCCTATCGGCAGCGTTCCTGGGAGACTCCGTGGCCACGGAGCCCCCGAGTTTTGAACATCCGTCAAACACGCATGGTTGTTAGATGCGTTTGACTGTGATGGAAGGGGGGGCCCACTGTCAGTCCCCCCGTCGGAGTCCGAACAGTCGCCTTTGGGGGCCATCTCGGAGCACTGTTGGGCGTTATCGGGACCGTCCGGAAGTACTTGTTGGGCTCGATCGGCCCGTTTTGATGCCAGTCTGATCAAGAACGAGCGCACACTGCACAAGACAGTGTGGCAGGATCGCTTCCCGCTCGACGATCCATGATGGTACGAACTTCCTCTTCCACGTCTGACACAGCGAGCTTCCTGAGCGAGGAGAGCTCCAATGATCCGACCCAGGCTACGGATGAAAGAGGTCAGGCTGGAATGCTCAAGGCACTGATTGCTCGTGTGGGACGGCCCAGGGACGTCTTACTTCTAGACGCTTCGCATCTCCCCACCGGCCCATCCAGAAACGATGCCCCGGCAAGTTGCCTTGGCAGGGATGTGGAGAGGCATGCAGTGGGCGAACGGGCTGGGTAAGACGTCATACCCCAAGAGGGGGAGGATGGAGGAGAAATCAGAGGAAAGATAGGGAAGGAGGAGGCGGAAGGGGAGGAGGAGAAGAAGGAGCAGGGCGATCAGAGCTAGATGCCTCTTGGATGCCTCTCGGAATCTTTTCGGGTGTCTGTCGAGAGCGTTTTGGAGTCCTCTTGGGTCTTGGGGCGCCTTGGGGGTCTCTTGGCAGTCACGGGGACAGAGCCTCTCGGGGGTCTCTTGGGAGCCTGTTGGGGGCATCTGTGGGGCCTCTTGAGGGCCTCTTGGGGCCTCCTGGGCACCTCTTGGGGCCGTCTTGGGGCACCATTGGGAGCCCAGGGGGTCATCTTGGAGGAGATCGATCAAAGGAAGGAGCGGAATAAATTAGCACCTCCCCCCCCTCTCTTCCCCAGGAGGTCAAAATGCGGTCAGAACCTTGTTGCACAACATCAGTGATTGTTGCCTTCTCGCCGAGGCCGTTCTGGACGCTCCAACGACACGCCGCCCCCCCCCCCCCTCCAGACCCAGGGGGAGGGGGTGGGGGGAGGGGTAAACCCTTCCCCGAAGGGAACGAAGGGGGTTGGAAGAGGAAACGGTTTCAATCACTCACGACGACGACATGCTCTGAAGGGCTGGTGCGGATTCTCACATGTGCAGCATTCGGACTAGGATTATGCTCTGGTGCAGCACTGTTGTTTGCTGTTTTTCACGAAACTGGGCAGCTCAGGACATCGTCTGCCCCGCGCTCGGTCAAAGCCACACCCCAGTTTCATCAACAAGCGAGCTGGGTCGGCGATGGAGTCACCGAGTTTGAACGCAACGAAAAATCGCCATACGCGGTAGCGAGAGATGTATGTGTATGGCGCCGGTTCGAAGACTGTATGACGTTCACAGATAGAAACGATCTTAATGCTACCTCCTTGCGCTACACGTTCGAGCATTTTTTAAAAATCACACCGATGACATTGCCCATGAAACAGGCACAGATACCAGGATCGACGGTGCTCTTCACCGCGTCGCATAGCAAGAGATACCTTCGCTGGAATAACATTGCCCATTTTGCAAACGAGCTGATCCATCTTGCCAACTTCGTGGATGGATACGGGCACGAATTCGCTGAGCGTGCCCTCGTGTGGCAGGCGCCAGAATCATTATTTACGGGTGCGGGCAGTGGCTTCACAACGGATTGGTACATTCAGTCCGTGAGAAGCCTCTTGCTCCACGGGGAGATTGCAAATACAACACCATTTATTTACACTTGCGATCAGGTGCCATTGACTACTGGCAAGGAACATGCGTTGTGTTTCGAGAGGTTGGTGGCTTTCGCTGAGCCGCGGATATCTGAATTCAATCCGTCTGTGTGCAATCACTTCAAGTCTAGAGTGTACCATAGATTCGGATTGTCACCAGCGCCTGACGTGTCAAGCCATGTATTGGTTTTGATTCGCACTGATGGCCAAGGGTGGTCAAATCACGATGAAGCGGCTGAAGAGATTGCCAGATACACCAAACGAGTTGGCGGTACCATCATCACGGCCTTTCTCAACCGCTCGCGTATGACTTTGAAGGAGCAAGTTCGTTGGTTCATGGATAGTGGGGTCGTAGTGACCACCCACGGTGCTCACGAGATGAACCTCATGTTTGCAAGAGCGGGAAGCTTCCACATCGAGTACTTCAAGCAGAACCATGTGTCCGGCACGTTCCGCAAAGTCGCAGTGTCATGTGGCATTCGCTACATCGCTGCGCACGCGAAGGGAACTCGCTTCTCCCTCCATACGTGGACAAGGAAATACCTTGACATCCCGATGCCGTTGGACTTTCATCTTGAGTTGCAGCCGGCCTTACAATTTGCGCTTGGCGTGGACGTTCAGGGCATCCAGGAGAACGCTCCAAATACCCATCCCGTCATGATCAGAACTGTTTCGGAGGGTTGGATGTGTGCTGACGACTCGGAGGCGGCCGCAGAGCTCTACGACGGCTCGTCGAATCATAGCCGCTGTTGATGTTCTTCGTCTGTGGTGCCAGATGTGTGAGCCCCCCTGCCCGAGAGCACCGTGGTCACGTTTCGAAAACGCTGCCTTGTGACCGCGACGCGCTTCGGATCCTCTCGCAGGGCACGGTGCGGCCGCTGCTCCCCCGAGCGACGGCGCCCCCGCACTCTGCTGCGGAGCTCACCCCGTGCTGGCAGGGGCCACGCGGCATACGCTCGCCACTCCTCGGAGAGGAGGACTCGCATAAAGGAGGAGAAGAAGGAGGTAGAGGAGGAGGAGGAGGAAGAGGAGGAGGAGGAGGAGGAGCAGGAGGAGGAGGAGGAGGAGGTCCACGCGGACTTCACCGATCTGCTCTGGGCCTCCCTGGCGAAGCTTCCAGCGCCGCCCCTGGCGCACTCCACACGCCAGAGCGGGGGGATCCAGCACCGATCCAGGAAAGCCGCACGGAGCTCCGAAAGTTTATGTCCACGTCGTGTTTTCCTTAGACGCGTGCCCCAGAGTATAAACACTGGTTTCCTTCACGCACTCTTGTCTTAGAGGCACAAGATCCACAGGCTTACGCCACATCCGCCGACCCCTTTTGGGGGGAGGTGGGGGCAGGGTCTCTTGAGAGCAGTTTTGGAAGCGCCTCGGGCTCGTTTCGGGGGCCTGCTGGCGCGTCTTCGGGGCCTCCTATGGTGCCTCTTGGGGCAGCATGTTTCGCTCCTGGCTTGTGGTGCCGGGCCCCTCCCTCCGGCCCAGGGGCTTGGCATCGCTCGGACGTGTGCGCTTATTCTTCGGCGAGGACCATCGAGGAGCATCCTTGACCATTTGGCGAAAAAAACACACGAAACCGAAAAAAACATGATTCACTGCGTGGAGCTCCCCATATGTGCATCTACTCGCATGGACCTGTCCGCCGTGAATGTCCAGGCGCAAGAGCTTTCGAATATTAACGGGCTTCAGTTGTGACGGTCTGGACATCAATCTAACTGCGAATGAATTCGAGTGTGAATGAGCCTCAGTAGTACGAGCGCGTCTCTGTGCATGAGCCTGGGGCCTCCTGGGGCCTCCTGAAACCTACTGGGGCTTCCTGGGGTCTCCAGGAGCCTCTTGGGACCTCCTGGGACCTCCTAGGAAGGTTTCGTGCCCCAGGAGAGGCGCAATCTATAGCAACAGACGTACATAAAACATTGCGGATTAGAGCCACAGGAGAAGGACAATCTATAGGAACACGCGTAAAACACTAAGGACTCGTGCCCCAGCAGAGGCCCAATACATAGGAACATGAGTAAAACATTTAGGATTGTGTACACAGGAGAAGGACCATCTATAGAAACATACGTAGAACATCAAAGAATCGTGCTCCAGGTGAGGCCCAATCGATAGGAGCATACGTAAAACACATGGGATTGGAGCCACTCCTGTTGCCTTCTGAGGCCTCCTGCTCCTGGGGCCTCTCGGGGCCTCCTGTTGCCTTCCGAGGCCTCCTGGCGCTTCCTGTTGCCTCCTGGGGCCTCCTGTGGTTTCCTGAGGCCTTCTGGAGCTTCCTGGGGCCTCCTGGAGCCTCTTGGGACATCCTGTGGCCTCTTGAGTCTTTCTGTGGCCTCCTGATGCCTCCTGGGACCTCATGTGGTCTCCTGGGGCCTCCTGGAGCCTGTTGGAGCCTCCTGTGGCATCCTGAGAAGAATCTGCGCCCACGAGCCTGGCCACCAAAACAAGCAAACCGATCGAGACATCCTCAAAATCTGGCCCACCTGGGGGGTGAAAATGAGCGCCTCGCTCGAGACATCCTCCAAATCTGCTCCGAAAGCGAAGGATGTTGGGCCCAGAAACAAGCAAACCGCCTGAGACATCCCCACAAAATGGCCGCGAACGAGCCCGTGCAACCACCCCTGGCGGCTCCCCTTAGGGGTGCTGAAATGAGCGCCTCGCTCGAGACATCCTCCAAATCTGCTCCGAAAGCGAAGGATGTTGGGCCAGAAACAGGCAAACCGCCTGAGACATCCCCACAAAATGGCCGCGAACGAGCCCGTGCAACCACCCCTGGCGGCTCCCCTTAGGGGTGCTGAAACCAGCGCCCCGCCTGAGACATCCTCACAATCTGCTCTCCAAGCGAAGGATGTTGGGCCCAGAAACAGGCAAACCGCCTGAGACATCCCCACAAAATGGCCGCGAACGAGCCCGTGCAACCACCCCTGGCGGCTCCCCTTAGGGGTGCTGAGTATGAGTAAGTCTGTGTATGAGTAAGTCTGTGTATGAGTAAGTCTGGGTATGAGTAGGTCTGTGTATGAGAAAGTCTGTGTATGTGTACGTCTGGGTATGAGTAAGTCTGAGTATGACTAATACTGTGTATGAGTAAGTCTGGGTATGAGTGAGTCTGTGTATGAGTACGTCTGGGTGTGAGTAAGTCTGTGTATGAGTAAGTCTGTGTATGAGTATGTCTGAGTGTGAGTAAGTCTGAGTATGAGTAGGTCTGAGTATGAGTAAGTCTGAGTATGAGTAAGTCTGTGTATGAGCAAGTCTGAGTATGTCCGACAGGAGGGGAGGAGAAAAGAGGAGGAGGAAGGAGGAGGAGTAGGAGGCGTCCAAGTAATAACAAGAACCCCATCTTAGGATATGGGGAACAAGGAATGGACGTCCAAGCGATGGCGAGGGGGAGGGCGAGCCTTCGGGCTCGGGCTCCGGGGGGAGCATAGAGCTTGACGCGGCGGGAGGCCGGCGGCGGGTCGGGGGATCCCTTGCGCTGGTCAGGGGGGGGCGTCTCTGCGAGGGGAACAAAACGTGGCAGGAACACAAACACTCGGAGGTCCGCGCGGATTTCTCGGGTTTGCGCTGGACCCCCCTCCCTGGCGCGCGGAGCGCGCCAGGGGCGGCGCCGGAGGAGCCGCCGGGGGGCACCAGCGCGGATCCGAGAAATCCGCGCGGGCCTCCGAGTGTTTGTGTTTATGTCACCTTTTGTTCCCCTATATGTGGCTGTCCCGGCGAGGCCAAGATGGCGCCAAGATGGCGCCAAGACGTTCAAGAAGGCGCCAAGATGGCCCAAGAGCGCTCCAAGAGAGCCCAAGACCGCACAAGAGCGTTTCAAAATTTGTCCAGCACGGTTTGAAGACAGCCCAAGAGGGCTTCAAGACTCCCACGTGGCACTCAGGAGGCGAAAAAGTATGTTGCTTTCGAAGGGGTTTTGAAGGTTTTTCGTGTTCTCGCTGTTTCGTGCTTCCGACGGGCCAAGATAGCCCACGAGGCCCCAGAAATCAGCTCAATACGGCCTAAGAGGCACCCAAAGAGGGCGCCACGACGGCGCAAGAGAGTCCCAAGACGGCCCACGAGTGCCTCAAGACGGCCCAAGAGGCGCCCAAGATCGGCCAAAAGGGCGCCAAGACGACCCCAAGGCGGCCCCAAGAGGGGCCCAAGAGGGGGAACACGAACCGACAATTCGAGCCTTCCGCCCCAAGAGGCCTCCAGGAGGCCCCAAGGAGCCCCCAACAGAGCCCAAGAGGCCCCCTAGAGGCCCCACGAGGCCCCAAAGGGGCCCTGAAAGACGGCCAGAAGGCCCCAAAGAGGCCCCACGAGCTGAGACGGGCCAAGAGGCCCCCAAGAGTGCCCAAAGACGGCAGCCCTTCGCCAATCTGCCCCTCGTGGGCGGGCGGTCCGGGATGCGTGCAGCCACACGCGAGTAGGCGCAATGCAGAGTCAAACATGGACGGCTGCAGCAGCGAGTTGGCTCACGTCACGCAGGCGTGGGCGCAGGACAGACATGGTTTTCGTGTTGCGCGCGGGTGGTAGCTGGCCATAGGGGGGGGATCCCCGTCAGGGGGAGCGCGAGGGTTGTGTTGGTTGAGAGTTGAGGGGATGAGGAGGCCACTGCACCGTGTAAGTTTTGATTCAACGCGGCGCTCAGCGAACTAGCGGAGCCGTTCAGTTGAGTCTCTTTCCGCGGAGCTAGCTTGCGTCCACTTTGCGTCCGCGGGCTGGCGCAATACAGAGTCAAGCAGCGACGACTGCAACAGCGAGGTAACGCACATCACGCAGGCGTGGGCGCAGGACAGGGCCTGATTTTCGCCTTGCGCGCGGGTGGGAGCTGGCCAAAATGTGGGCCCAGGGCGGAAGAGTCATAGGTCCATGCGCACGCGAATCTTGTAGTTTGTTTTGTAATGTTGGAGCAATTGCCAGTTTACCTTGCGTGCACTTTCTGGGGCAACCGACCAGAAAAAAGTGCGCGCGAGGTGATTCTATCTATCATTGGCGCGAGTCCAGGGTGCGCGCGAGGTGATTCTATCTGTCATTGGCGCGAGTCCCCGCCAGGAAGATCTCGATTTTTCGAGCTTCCGTCGCTCCACGACGTCTCAAGAGGCCCCCAAGACCGCCCCGAGACGCCCCAAGAGGGCCCCAAGACGGGCCAAGAGGACCCCCCGGCCCTGGAAGCGTCCAAGACGGCTCCAAGAGAGCTCCGAGACAGCCCCAAGAGGGCCCCTAATCTAACACAAATTTGACACAACCGTTTCCTCGTTGTTGGTGCTCTGGGGCCGCTCTGGGAGCTCCTTTGGCGCCTTGGGAGCTGCGGGAACCTGCGGGAGTGCCAGGAGAGCCCCCCAGAGGCCTCTGGAGGCCCTCGGGGCCCCACAGTTTTCCAGAGTCCGGAGGCCCCCAGAGGCCCGGGACAAGCAAAATACGCCCCAGAACGTGCAATCGTCATCACGTCCAAGGACGACGAGCACCATCACCACCACGACCACCACAGCGACCACCACGACGATTATCGCGACTGCGGCGGCGGCTGCGGCTGCGGCGCCCGCGGGGGCGGTGGCGGCGGCGACGGCCTAGCGGCCCGGAGCCTCTTGGGGCCCTCCTCGGCCATCGTGGCAGTCAGGTCACTTACACAGTTTGGGAAACACTCGGGGCCTTCCGACGCGTCGCACGTCGATCTCGCACGGCTCCGTGACCGCCCACCGAGCCCTAAGCTATCCTTCGGAATGCGCAGCACCTCCACGCGCTAACGACAGCCCTTGCCTTGGGAACCCCTCCCAGGGTGT